TTACTATTATCTATATATCTATCTATCTATCTTTGAGGCAGGGTCTTCTTAATTTATTTCAGGCCCCACTGAGTTGCTAAAGCTGGCTTTTTGGGATCCTCCTGCCTCAGCTTCCTGAGCTCCTGATAAATTATATTATTAAACTATCCAGAAAAGGCCATTTTTTAACATCCATTTCTTTAAAAAACCAAACCAGATAAAAATAGTACCCACCCATGTTTTTCTGCCATTTCTTACTTGCACATTATGGTATTTCTACACCCTTTGTGAACATCATTATATTGTTAGGGTTTATAATTTGATAGGAAGTTCTGTTAGAATGTTTTTATAAATAAGAGCTTAGTGTCTCTTGTGTGATAATAATAAAATTATTTGTATATAATAAATGGCAATATTTTTAGAATAAAACAAATGGAAGCACATTCTGCTCCATTTCTTTTGATCATTTGCATGATTGAGTCTGAATGATTAAGTATTGAGTTATTCTTTTCCTGGTGGAATTAACTTGTAGAGGTCTTACAATGATTTCTCTGAGAATTAACTTTAATGTTTATACCAAGTAGAAATTAATAACAAACCAAAGGAATCACATTAGGATTGATTACATAGAAAATTGTAATATTGCATTGCCTTATGATTTTTCAAACTAGGAAATAATTGCCTAAGTTCATTATATTAAATCTACTTCATGTAATTTTAAAATAAATTTTTAAAATTCATAAAACAAATTAGTATTAATGATGTTCATTTTATGTATATTTGTGTTGTCAATTATAAATTTCTGTTTTACATGATTTTACTCAGTTGTATTTAAGAAGGGACCCGAACACATGAGCATGAATATTTTATCATTTAATCAGAAATGTGTAAGCCAAGTAGTATCTCATTTTGGTTTTGATTTGCATTTCTCTAATGACTAATGATGTTGAACATCCTTTCATTCTCGTATTGGCTAGTTGTGTATTTTCTTTGGAGAAATGTCTGTTGTTTGCTCCCTACTTCCCTTTCCCTCCCTCTTCCCCTTTTCTCCCCTTTGCCCCTCTCTGCTACCCTTCCCTTACTTTCCTTTCCTTTCTGACAGTCTAGATATTGAAATCATATATATGATTTGCAGATATTTTCTCCCATCCAATAGATTGCCTACTCACTTTCTTGATAAATGTCCTTTTTTGTTGCTTATGATTTTTTTGTCATCTGAAAATCTACCAAGTCTGAGGTCATGAAAATTTATCCCTATGTTTTCTTTTAGGAATTTATGATTTTAGCATTTAGATCTTTGATCCATTGTTGATTTATTTTTGTATATGATTTCAGGTAACAGTTCAATTTTATTCTTTTGTTTAAGGAAATCCATTTATTATTTTTTGAGAGACCAGGGACCATTCTTGTCCCATTGAATAGTCTTGGTTTCTTCATCCAAGATCTGTTGACAAGCCACGAGTGGTAGAGCTCACCTGCAATCCTAGCAATTTGGGAAGCTGAGGCAGGAGGATCACAAGGTTGAGATCAGCCTCAGCCACTTGGCCAAACCTTGTCTCAAAATAAAAATCAAAAAAGGTTGGGGGCCTGGAATTGTGGCTCAGTGGTAGAGCACTAGCCTAGCATGTGTGAAACACTAAGTTCAATTCTCAGCACCACATATAAATAAAATAAAAATAAAGAGTCCGTTAACTAAAAAAAATTTTTTTWAAAAAGTGGGGGTTTGGGGATGTGGATCAGTGGTTAATCACTCTTGGGTTCAATCCCTGGCACCCCCACCCCACCCAAATGACTATTGACTATAGACATATGGGATTATTTCTGGACTCTTAAATTCTTTTCAGTTGATCTATATGTCTGTCATTATGGTAGTATTAAACTGTCTGGTGACTGTAAGCTTTGTGGTACATTCTTAAACAAGGAAGTATGAGTCTTAAAATTTTGTTCTTTTTCAAAACTATTTTGACTTTGGTTCACTTAAATTTCTCTATAAATTTTAGGATGAGCTTGTCAGTGTTTGCAAAAATGGAAGGTAGTATTTTGATAGGGTTTGTGTTGAATTTGTAGTTTAAATTGTGGAATATTACCATTTTAACAGTGTCTTTACATTTTTTGGGTCTTTTCAAGTTTCTTTGAGCATTGTTTTATTTTTTTCAATGTACAGGTTTTTCATGACCTCAATTAGATTTATTCCTTTAAATGCCTATAATGAATGTATTTAAAAAAATTTTTTAGTTGTAGATGGACATAACTTTAATTATTTATTCATTTTTATGTGATGCTGAGGATCAAACCCATTGCCTTACATGTGCTAGACAAGTGCTCTACCACTGAGCCACAACCCTAGCCTTTATGAATGGATTTTTAAGAAACTGTTCTTTTTAAGGGTTATTTGCTGATATATGGTAATAACACTGATTTGAAGACTAGGCACATGGTATGCACCTATAATCGCATGTACTCATGAGGCTAAGGCAAGAGGGCTCAAACTTAGGGAGACCCTGTCTCAAAAATGAAAGATTAAAAGGATTGTGGATGTAGCCTTGGGTTCAATCCCCAGTACTGTTAGAAAAGAGAAGAAAAGAAAAAGCTGAGGATTTACTGTGTGTCTTAAAACTTCCTAAATTTCTTATCTCTAGTAGCTTTCTTATTGATTCTTTGGAATTTTCCATGTGTAGGATCATATCATCTGTGAATACAAATGATTTTAATTCTTCATTTCAATTCATATTTCTTTTATTATTTATTGTCTAATTGTACTGAGTAGAAACAATATTAGGCTGGGCCTGGTGGCATGTACCTGTAATCCCAGTGACTTCAGAGGCTGAGGCAGGATCACAATTTGAAGTCAGCCTTCGCAACTTAGTGAGATATTGTCATAAAATAAAAGAGGCCCTGGTGGTATAGCTTAGTGGTAGAATACCCTCTTGGTTAAATCCCCTGTACCATGAATGAATGAAAGAAAAAGTAAAAACTGTTAGATAGCAGTAGTTCAAGTGAGTGTCCTTTTCTTGTTCTGCTCTTAAGAAGAAAACTTTTATTGTTTACATTTACATAGGAATGTAGCTCTGTTTTTTTTTTTTAAATTTTTACAAATGCCCCTTTTCATGTTATGATAGTTTCTTTCTGTTCATCGTTGAAATTTGTCAAATGCATTGTTTGTATTTATTAAAACACTCCCCTGTTTTGGGAAGGGATATTGGAGAACAAACTCAGGGTGACTTTCTTGCATGCTAGGCAAGTGCTGTACTACTGAACTATATCCCTATCACTTATTTTCTTTTGAGACAGGGTCTCTGTAAGTTGCCTTAAACTTTCCATGCCTCGTCCTCTCTGGCAGCTGGGATTACAGGCATGTGCCAACCCCTGGCTAAAATGCCCATTTTAAAATATGCAAATCTGTTTATGTTATTCCATTACCCAGAATTTTTAGTTACATACATTTAAAATTCCAAGCAATATATTATTCTGACTTGATTTTTTTGTGCTGGTTTTACTGTTTTGTTCTGTTTTTGACTTYTGTACTCTTTTCTTCAGCAAAACTAGAATGTTCACTGTTAAAGTATGTAAAATAATGATTCTCCCCAAATGCTGACATCTGAATCCTTCAAATCTGTAAATATATTACATGTCAAGGGGTAATTAATATAGATAACCAGCTGACTTTAGGAAAATTATTTGGGATTATCTGGGATGTCTGATGTAATCAGAAGAGTCCTTAGTAGAAGGAAGAGACAGAAAATGAGTTAGAGGAAATGTAATTCTGGAAGAAAGGCCAAGAAAAATAAAACAATGCTTTGAAGATAAAGGATGCCAAGGGAAAAAGGTAGTTTCTCTCTTTTTTAAAAAATGGTATGTTTTGCTTTATAAATTGGCCTGTCAGTGTAAGATAATGAATTTGTTGTTGTCAATGTAAGATAATGAATTTATTGCAATAAAAAACAAATACAAGTACCAAAGCATTATTTTACAATTTATTGCGTTGGCTTATTTCTCCAAACTTATATCTAAATTTCCCTTAAGTTGTTAAAGTTGTATTTGTTATTACAGACCCATCCCAAATCCCCACAACTACAAGTCCTTCTACTTTACCTCCCTTTTTTCATCTGCCCATATTTAGTTTTTCCTTTGGGATCTACATGTAATACAAAGTTTTAGAATATAGTTCTTTAAATTTCATTTTATTAAAAATATTTCATCTTTTAAAAACGATACATTTATATAAATGTGTTTTGTATATCTGTCTTATCTATTGAATTAATACTCTGCATTGCCCTTTTTATGCCATCCTTATGTGTTTGAAATAATCTTTTTTTTTTTTTAAGAGAGAGTGAGAGAGGAGAGAGAGAGAGAGAATTTTTAATATTTATTTTTTTTTAGTTCTCGGCGGACACAACATCTTTGTTTGTATGTGGTGCTGAGGATCGAACCCGGGCCGCACGCATGCCAGGCGAGCGCGCTACTGCTTGAGCCACATCCCCAGCCCCTGAAATAATCTTAATGTAATTCTGGATTAGTTCTTTAAGTCCTATAATTTACATTTGTGACACTAAATGAAATAACCATAGTGGTGAGTTCCTGTAACTGTATATTTAGGAAGTATCATGTTTGTCTTTTTTTTAATACTTTTTAAAAAATATTTATTTTTTAGTTAGACACAATACCTTTATTTTATTTATTTATCTTTATGTGGTGCTGAGAATCAAACCCAGGGCCTTGTACATGCTAGGCGAGTGCTCTACCCTGAGCCACAACTCTAGCCCCTCATATTTGTCTTTTTCTTTTTTTACTTAATAGTTTATTTTATGGCCCTATAGGTGTTTCTTTTTTTTAGCTAAGAAATATGTTTTAGAGATGGTTCAAATGAATCTTTATTATGCTAGAAAAAGAATTGTTTTCTCCCTTAATTAATAGCATGCACGTATTTAGGAACAAAGGAAACTTAAATAGAACTGATATGTACCTTTTTGTATGGTATGGCACTGTGGGATATTTACTAAATATGATATTGTGTTTTGTAGAATGGAGATGTATGCATTTCGATACTTCATCCTCCTGTAGATGACCCACAGAGTGGAGAACTGCCCTCTGAAAGGTGGAATCCTACTCAGAATGTGAGGTAAGGTGTTAAATTAAGAAATTATTTTTTAMTTTTGGTTTTGGTTTTTGCTCAGGCTGACCTTGAACTTTACTTAAGCAATCTTGCCTCAGCATCCCAAGAATTTACTAGGATTACAGTTACATAGTTACACACTACCTTAATAATGGTCTTTTTGTGTGTGAAATTCTCATTTTTCCTTTTTTTTGCCTCTAGTCAAATAAGATTATGTACTGTTTTTTTAAGCTATGCAAAAAAAATCCTTCCTGTTTGGAGTTGTTTGTCTTCATTTAGAACTTTATGTATGCTTCTTTCAAAATGTTTTTATTTACTGAGGAATAATGCATGTGATTTTTATTTCCCTGTGTTCACTGTGGAAGGAATTTTATAAACATGGATTCTTCCTCTTACATTGTCGTAAGTTCTACCTTGCTTCTTTGGACCCCATGACTTTTGTTGTTTCTTTAATATTCTTATTACTTTTTGCAGACAGATCTTAAGACTTTACAGACTCAAAACTGAGTTTATTTATCTGATGCCTTTTATTTATTTAGTTAGTTTCATGTGTGTTTCTTTTGATGTTTGGAAGACATATTTCATGTGATTTCTTCTTTGACTACTCATCTCTTGATTATTTATCTAGATTGATATTTCATCGTCTTTCGCTTTTATGTATAGGGGATGATCTTACTGCTTAAGAAATTTTAAAACCAGTTACACTGTTAATCCTATTAAATATATTTAAGAAATCACTTACACAATTAAAAACTAATTTTGTGCTGGTGTAGTATATATGAGGTCCTAGGTTCACACCCCAGCACACCCCCTAATTCTATATTGAGTTATTGCCATTATCATTAATGTACTGTTGATTAAAAACACTGTAATTTGATGATACTTTTTCTTTCTTTCTTTCTTTCTTTTGGGTAGGGTAGCAGGGATTGAACTCAGGGGCACTTGACCACTGAGCCACATTCCCACCCTTATTTTGTATTTTATTTAGAGACAGGGTCTCACTGAGTTACTTAGAGCCTCACTTTTGCTGAAGCCTGCTTTGAACTTGCATTCCTCCTGCCTCAGCCTCCTGAGCCACTGGGATTACAGGCGTGTGCCAGTGCGCCCAGCTGATATTTTTATTTTTAAATAAATGTTGAAAATTCTTTCTCTCTCTCTCTCTCTCTCTCTCTCTCTCTCTTTTTTTTTTTTTTTGGTGTGCTAGAGACCAAACTCAAGGCCTTAGGCTTGCTAGGCAAGCACTCTATCAGTGATGTATACCTTTAGCCTCAGGAAATATATTAATCAGATAAACATTTGTTCTATATTAGTTTATAGATCCATGTATAATTTATATTGTTCTAGAATGTGGCAAAGAATGGCTTCAATTTTATTTACATATACATACATACATATTCAAATGTAACAAAGACTAGTATTACTGTATATTAGAAGAGAAGGACTAAGAATTCACAGTGGAGTAATGTTTTAAAATAAAATTTTTAGGACATAAACTAAATATCTCTATTCTAAGTTTTTTGGCAAAAAAGAATTTATAGTGTTCTAGTCTTTTTAAAAAAAAAAAAACTTTATTGAAGTATAATTCACATACCATACAAGTCACCCATTTAAAATCTACAATTTAAAAGTTTTTTAGTATACTCACAGGTTTGTGCTGTTAATACGATCAACATTAGAATGTTTTCATTATGCTTAAAGGAAACCCATACACTAACAATTTCTGTTCATTACTTCCCAAATCTCCCAGCCCTAGGAAACCATCAGTTGACTTTCTGTGTCTGTGGATTTGCCTATTCTAGACCTTTCATAAGGATGCAAACATAATATGTATTATTTTGTGACTGACCTCTTTCATTTAGCATAAACTTTTCAAGATTCATTCATGCTGTGGTATGTATCAATACTTCAACTCCTTTTTTTTATAATTTTTTTTTTTTTAGCTGTAGGTTGACACAATACCTCTATTTTATTTATATATATGTGGTGCTGAGGATCGAACCCAGGGCCTCACACATGCCAGGCGTGTGCTCTACCACTGAGCCACAGTCCCAGTGGCGCTCTCTCCCCCCCCCCTTTTAAATTATACTAAGGATTGAACTCAGGACCTCCTGCATACAGGTATTCAACCACCGAACTACATCCTTAGCCTGTTTCATTTCTTTTTATGGCATTTATCCCTTTGTATGATTAAATCACACTGTATTATTAAATCACACGTATTCATATATGTGGTATGGTTATACCATATTTTATGCCTCCAGTCAAGGGACATTTGGGTTGTTTCCATTTTGGATTATTATGAATGATGTACTATTAAAAGTATGTACACATTTTTGAGTGGTTATCTATTTTCATTTCCTTGGATATTTACCTAGGAGTGGAACTGCTGGGTCAATTGGTAACTGTGTTTAATGTGTGTTCTGCTGGGGGTTGAATCCAGGGCAGTGCACATGCTGAGCCACATCCCCTGCCCTCTGTTGAAAGTTTTGAGGAACTTCCCAACTGTTTTCCAAAGTGACTACAATAGTTTTACATTTCTTTGAGTAGGTGTGTGTACCCCCCCCMAAAAAAAAGTATAATGGCAAAACAGGTTCGACATGTAGCTCAGTTTTCCCATCTCCTTTAACACTTTGTTTTCTATTTCACCTGTCCTAGTTGGGTACAAAATGGTTTCTTACTGTGCTTTCTCATCAAGTTCTTGTTTATTTTTATTCGTTTATTTGTTTATTTTGTGCTGGGGATTGAACCTAAGGCCACTTCACCATGGAGATACATCCCTAGACCTTTTTATTTTTAGACAGGGTTTAATTAAGTTGCTGTGGATCTCACTAAATTGCAGGCACTTCAGACCTGTGAAGCTCCTGCCTCAGCCTCCTAAGATGCAGGGATTAGAGGTGTTGCCAATGCACATGGCTAACCTTTTATTTTAAAAAGCTTTAAACTTTACGAATACATTTCATAAATGTGAAATCACTGAGAGTTCCTATTTACCCTGCTGTTTTCCTTTGTTACTAACATCTGCCATCAGTTTTGTTCATTTATTAAAGTTAATGAACCAGTATTAACATCTTGTTTACTAATGCCCATACTCTTTCACCACATTTCCTTGTTTTTTTTGTTTTGTTTTGTTTTTGTTTGGTGGTACCATGTATTTGAACCCATGTAGGTGCTCTACCACTAAGCTACATCTCCAGACTTACTTTATTTTTTAAGGCAGAGTCACTAATTTGCCCAAGCTGGCCTCAAACTTGTGATCCTCTGCCTTAGCCTCCTCAGTGGCTGGGATCACAGCATGTGCCATTGCCACACACCCCCCTTCCCCATTTCCTTAGCTTTTACCAATGTAACTTTTATACTCCAGGATCCCATGCATTATGACACATTATATTGATTAATCCTCTCTTCTTAGGCAACTGTTTTTAAAATTTTTATTTTATTTGGTGGTCTGGGTATTAACACAGTGTCCAGTGGTAGTCTACCACTGAGCTGCATCCCCAGCCCCTTTTATTTTTTGTTTATGTCTTTTACTTTACTTATATCTGTTACTTGAGTTTTCTGCATAAAATTATATATCAGTGCTCAGATATTAAGCAAAATGTAATGAGCATACCAATGCCCAGCAATGTATAAATGTAATTCTTTCTTTACAGTCAGCATTATAAGATTTTGGTTTATATTACTCTGTAGCATTATCCTAATTTATTCTTATTTCTCCTGTTAAATTGATTCACTGCTGTCTATTGTTTTACTCTCGTGATCTGTTATCTAGCTGAACTTGTCTTAGTGGTAACTTCTGCAAACATACTTTGTGGTAGCCAACATTACGAGTCTTTTCATATTCAGAATGTTTTGTGCTTGTATGTGTGTGTGTGTGCGCTCGCACGTGTGTGCACACATGCTTATGTTGTTTTGCAGAACTGGGGATAGAACCTGTGACGTTGCACATGCTTAGCAGGTCACTGAGCTACGTGTCTAACCTGTTTTGCCATTATACTCCCTCGCCCCCCACCCCCCATACAGGGGATTAAACCCAGAAGTGCTCAACTATTGAGCCACACCCTCAGCCTGTTTTATTTTTTGTTTTGAGACAAGGTCTTACTAAGTTGCTTAGGGACTCGATGAGTTGTTGAGACTAGCTTTGGGTTTGTGATTCTCCTGCTTCACTTCCAGAGTTGCTGGGATTATAAGTGTATGCCATGGAGCCAGTGCCATTGTTCTTTAAATGACATTTGGTATAAGATTTCAGAATCAAAATGTCTTTCTTCAATAATATTATAGGCATTAATCTGTGTTGATTATTGATGTAAAAAAGCTTGGCTACCCTGTTTTCCCTCCTTACTACCCCTCATAGGTGACCCATATTTGTGGAATCAGTTTTTCTCTAGGTCTTTTCTGCCATCTGCCACTGTTACAGGCTGAATTGTTTTCCCCAAAAACGATTCATTGAAGTCCTTACCCCTTACAGCATGACCTTATTTAGAAATAGATCAATTGCAGATGTAATTAAAGTTAATTAAAATGAGGCTGCGGTATAGAAAGGTGGGTCCTTTTTTGAGGAAGTGTTCACTGAGGATTGAAACCTTTACCACTGAGCTGTGTTCTCAATAACCACCCCGGGGACACACACACACACACACACACACACACACACACACCCCTTCCTCCCTACCTACCTTTTTTCCCTTATTTTAAGACGGGGTGTGGCTAAATAGCAATTAGTGCCCTGCTAAATTGCTAAGGTTAGTCTTGAACTTGCCATCCCCCTGCCTCAGCCTTCTGAGTCTCTGGGTTTACAGGCATATACCAGCCTGCCTAGTAACGATGGGTCTTTAATACAGTATGATTTGTGTTCATTAAGAAGAGAACAAGGGGGCAGGGGTTGTGGTTCAGTGGTAGAGCAGTTTCCTAGCATGTGCAAGGCATTGGGTTTGATTCTCAGCACCACATATAAATAAATGAATAAAATAAAAAAAGATCTATCAACATCTAAAACATACATTTAAAAA